GCTATTCTGTGGATTTGATAGAGTGTTGCAGTTATGTCACCTTGGTAAATGACTGCAGCTGGAGCAGGGTGCCATGAATGGGAGAGTCCATGTACAACTGAGTTAAATTTGACCCTAATTTCAGGAGAGTCAAATGTGCTAAATAGAAGTGATCAGTCACATTCCTGCCATGTCCAGTCCTGTCTAAGCACTGATGCAAAGATACCACCTATAATAGATTGTTAAAGAAGTTCGGTGGGAGGGGGGTGGTTTAAAAAATAAATCCAACCTTTTCAGATTTCATTAGGAAACTCCTAATCTGGCTACAGTCTGCTGAGTAAAAGCTTAAAACTCTCTCCCTGAGAGGATTATTTTTCTATCTGATATTTCAAATTATATTAGGCAAACGTGTTGGGCATAATCAAGCATTGCTTTGCAATTTGCTTTTCCAGCAGTCTACGAGATAGCTGTAGCCTTAAGCTATGCTCCTATCAGCCACAGAAGTGCCCCTGAAGTAGGGAATGTAACTCTTTGTCCACATTTAAATTTAACCCAATAACTCATAACAACTTGGGCTCCTAAGTAGTTTAACGGAGGAACTTAAAGCAATTTTACAGCCATTTGATTAAATGAACCTGAGAACACCCTGGGACTCTAGCTACCTACAACAGTCCCCATATAACAAAGAGAAAAACTCCGTGCCAAGGTCATAAGAACATAAGATCGGCCATTATGGGACACAGTATCCAAATGTTCATCTAGCTCAGTGTCCTGACATCTGACCATGGCCAAGGCCAGGCGCCCCAGAGGGGATGAGACAAACAGGGAATCATCATGTGGTCTATCCCCTGTCCCCCAGTTTCTGACAAACTGAGGCCAGGGATGCCATTCCTGCCCATCCCAACTAATAAGCCATTGATGGACCTAACCTCCATGAATTTATCTAGCTCTTTTTTGCACCCTGTTACAATCTTGGATATCACAAGGTCATCTTCTCTGGTAAGGAGTTTCACAGGTTGTCTGTGCATTGTGTGAAGAAGTACTTCCTTTTGTTTGATTTAAACCTGCTACCTAAAAAGGTTGCAAAAGAAGGACTAGCAACAAGGCCATTATGCACTATAGCTTACATATGCATTAACTCCGTGGGTGCTTTGGGGTAGAGCACCAACAGGAAAAAATTAGTGGGTGCTTAGCATCCACTGGCAGCCAGCTTCCACCAACCCACCAGAGTCTCCCACCTGCCAGTGGCCTCGCAGATCAATTCCTCCTCCCTCCCTTCCAGCACCTGTGTAACCATGCAGTTAAAATGTGGTTTTATGCAAAGTAACGTGCCTTAGTGTACTTTGCCAGCCACCCTTTCTGAAAGCAGAAAGACCTTTATCTTACCATTGGTAAAGGTGCACCAGCCAGAATTTTGTGTTTAAAGCTGATTCCAAGGCAGGAATAGAGTCTTATTATTCTGTTTTAAGTTTTAAAATTAGTATTGTAAAATAAGTAAAACGGTAAAATAATAAATAAATATCTGTCAAAAAAAACCAGCATGATAATGCAAAGCCCACTAATCCTAATAAAAAAACCTATTCTAAAAAAACTGGTTTTGCCTTAAGAGCAGCAACGTCCTCCCATGCTTGGAGCATCAGTCCAGACCAATAGAACCCCACTCCTCTGCCCATAATCAATCCACAGACCATAAACTGGTAAATATAACATCGAATGGTGGGACAGAGAGAATGTGTCTGTGTGTGTGTCCCTGTCTGTCTGTCTGCAGCAGCTGGCGCCCCAGGCAGAAGATGCGATCAGCGCCCCCGCCTGCACGGCCATCATTAACGTCATCCTGGGGTATCCGGGCCAGCAGCTCATGGGCCGCCCCGTGTGTCTGTCTGTCTATGTAAGCATATGCTAACTGCTTTGCCATTGCATTCTCAATAAACACAGTGTATTGCCTTTTTCCCCATACAAATCCCGTGTGCTTTTTATAAAGCATAACACCTGTGAGCAGGAGGCTCTTGGAGGGATGGAGAGGAGCAGGGGCAGGAAGAGGTGGAGCAGAAGGGGTAGAGGAGGGTCTGGGGTGGAGTGGCAGTGGGAAGAGGTGGGATGGAGGTGCAGACTTGAGAGAAGGGATTGGGGCGGAGCTTGGATGGAGTGATGAGTACCCCCTGGACCCATAAGAAGCCAGCACCTGTGACAGCTGTGAATAAGCCACCCCCTGAGTGATGTAAGTTACACCTTCTTGAATGTCAGGGTAGACAGCAATATGTTGGGCAGGATTGCTGCTTGCAGGGGCTGAAGTAATTGAGTGCATGGGAGAGCTCTCTGCCCTTGGCTTTAGCAAGGCTTTTGATATGGTCTTCCACAATATTCTTGCCAGCAAGTTAAGGGAATGTGGATTAGATAAATGGACGGTAAGATGGATAGAAAGCTGGCTAGAAGGCCGGACCCAACGGGTAGTGATCAACAGCTCAATGTCAGGATGGCGGTCAGTTTCTAGCGGAGTGTCCCAAGGTTCGGTTCAAGGACCGGTTTTGTTCAATATCTTTATTAATGACCTGTGTGAGGGGATGGATTGCACCCTCAGCAAGTTTGCAGATGACACTAAGCTAGGGGGAGAGTAGATACACTTGAGGGCAGAGATAGGGTCCAGAGTGACTTAGACAAATTGGAGGATCGGGCTGCAAGAAATCTGATGAGGTTCAACAAGGACAAGTGCAGAAGAATCCCAAGCATTGTTACAGGCTGGGGACCAACCAGCTAAGTAGCAGTTCTGCAGAAAAGGACCTGCGGGTTACAGTGGATGAGAAGCTGGATATGAGTCAACAGTGTGCCCTTGTAGCCAAGAAGGCTAATGGCATATTAGGGTGCATTAAGAGGAGCATTGCCAGCAGATCCAGAGATGTCATTATTCCCCTTTATTTGGCTCTGGTGGGGCCACGTCTTGGGTGTTCTGTTCCGTTCTGGGCCCCCCACTGTGGAGGGGATGTGGATGCGTTGGGGTGGGTCCGGTGGAGGGCAGCCAGGGAGATTGGGGAGCTAGAGCATATGACCTGTGGGGAGGGGCTGGGGGAGTTGGGTCTGTTTAGTCTGCAGAAGCGAAGAGTGAGGGGGGATTTGATGGCAGCCTTCAACTTCCTGAAGGGAGGTTTCAGGGGGGATGGAGAAGGGCTGTTCTCAGTGGTGGGCGATGGCAGAGCAGGGAGCAATGGTCTTGGGTTGTGGTGGGGGAGGTCCAGGTTGGATATTGGAAAAAACTATTTCACTAGGAGAGTGGTGGGGCACTGGAATGGGTTCCCTAGGGAGGTGGTGGAGTCTCCATCCCTAGTGGTGTTTAAGTCTCAGCTTGACAAAGCCCAGGCCGGGTTGATTTAGTTGGGATTGGTCCTGCCTTGGGCGGGGGGCTGAACTTGACGACCTTCTAAGGTCTTTTCCAGCTCTATGGTTCTATGATTCTATGCATTGCTACTAGTGAAACAGGCAGGACTGAAACAGCAGAGGTCCTGCATAAAAGGACTGAAATGTGCTGGCAGCGCTGGGTGATGGGCATTGATTAGGGCAGTGGGCACACTGGGCATGAGGGTGCGTGTCAGGATCAAGGTGCACTCAGAGCTGTGTGTGGTGAGCCAGGACTATGAGAGCAAGAAGGGCTGATCACCATGCTCTAGTGCATAGCACAGTTGGGATGAGAGGGGCAGGAGTGGATCCGGATTGCGTTAGCTGTGAGCTGGGGAAAAGGGACGTTTCAACATGCTGACTCTAGGTATTAATGACTTTACAACCACTGAACTGATTTCCTGCAGAGCTCGGCTTGCTTTGCAGATCTCACGAACACTGACAAATGAGGGCAAGTCTGAAGCCTCTACCAGGCTGATCTCAGAAATGTTGAGCTCCAAGTTTGATGCAGTTCCCTGTGACTTCAGCGGGACACATGGTAGGAAAGGAAACATGATTTAAATCACTAACCATGTAGCCAACTGCAATTCAATCGGTTACATGGTTAAACGTTGCCAGCCCCACCGACTGCTGGCCCCATGGGTTCCAGGTGGCTGCTGGCCCCATTGGCTGCTGTCTCCATGGGCTGCCAGCACGTGGGCTCCCAAACTCTTACATCCCTAATATGTGGGTGCACAGCCATTCTGAAAATCAGGCCTGCCTGGATTGCACCATTTGCAAGGTCGCATAAGAAATGTTGATCTGTATTATATTGTGTGTGGATATTGACTGACCAGAATTTGATAATGGCAAAGGGAGATACCATGTTTTAAGGCCTTCAAAAAGCGAAACTTCAACTATAATTCTGCATTTTCTTGACTGTTGCTTGTCTGATTTGTGAGCCTTGATGTTCCTTTCATGGTAGATTTGGTGTGAAGAACTTGACTAATTCGGAGTTTGCTAGCTTCCTCATCCAAAATCACATTTTTTTTCTGGGTCAGAGGATTTTGTTAAAAATTACAACAACAAAAAAGAATGAAGAAGCTTTTGAATAGATGCTGATTCACACTGATCTGCTTTAGCTTGTAGAGCAACACTGACCCCCTCCATACCCAGGTATGCAACAGAGCTAAACTCTAAGGACCTGCTTCACCTGCACCTTGGGCAGTCATTTATAGCCCTGAAAAGTGAGCATAAAATGCTCCCCCTTTGGCACAATAATGTTTTTCACCCTTTTGCCACTGATGTAAATTACACTGTCAATTACAAGGCAACAGAGAATCAGGCCCCATGTTTGGCATTTCAATGCACTGACAACTAAAGTCTCCTAGGAAATGTTGACTTGTGCAGAGAGAGAAAAAAACCAACAACCCAGTATTGAAAAATCAGTCCCACCCCTGTGAGTCCTGCTCCTGCTCATCTGCAAATACGCTGGGACAGAAAAATAGCATGATTAGAACCCTGTTACTTTGTCACTGCCCCACCTTCTTTGTTATAACTCAGTAGGTTCCAGTTGGTGCAGCCTTTTTTGGATGGGATTATTGGCTGCTTCTTGGCCTCGACTGTTATAAAGTAACCCAATATCCTGCCCTCAGGGAGCAAAGTGTGCAAAGCCCATTCTTGAAAGGGAGAGTAGCAGCATCACCTGGGACAGCTGCTACCTGCCTGAGCAAACCTACAGGGGCTGAGTTAGAAGCTGCTTTGAAAAATGCCGGGGAAATTCCCCATCTTCTTTCTGATTGTGGCTGAGCTCCTGGGTCTATGTGGTGAGTGATTCTTTTTGTTCGTGGTCCAGCACTTGTCTGCCCTCCTGTTCATGTAGAAAAGTTAACAAGAAGAAAAGCTGTGCTTAATAGTGTGTGTGTGGCAGACTTTGAAAGGCAGGAAAGCAGCTCAGTCCTGTTTGTTTGCCCATCTTTGAAAGCTTAACTTTTTCTTTAAATTGTTTTATGGGAGGGAGTATCTGAGACCCCACGTGTGATCTGGGTTTCCGTATGCTAGGTCCTGGACACACGCTGAGTAAAAGTCCCTGCTTTGAAGTGCTTAGAGGTTAAATAAAGAACTGGTGGTAGGGGGAACAGAGAAATGAAGGGACTTGCTGAAAAATCACACAGAAGAACCGGGAATAGGACTTGAGTCTCAGATTAGCGTCCTTTGCACTAGAGACTGCTGCTTTTCAGTTGTCACCTGCTCTGTAACAAATGGCCTTTTGGGTCCGTTACTGGAAGGCAGACGAGCTTTCTGACATTTCCTTGGGAGTAGAATGTCCAACCACATTATCAGACAGATGTAAAATAAAAGACGAGCTTATAGTGCTGTCCTACCTAAGACTGGTTAGAAGGGTCGTTGTCATTCTCATACACCAGGGCTACGATCTCTGCTTTTCTAACTTGTATAATCCGCATGGGAGGATATCCTGCAAACACAAATATATTTCACTTCACTCACACAAGCAGCCTCATTGGTGTCTCTAGGATTGCTTGCATGAGTAAAGTTAAGCATGTGTGTCCAAAGGATCTCCCACCTATTTTGTTGAATCTCTTCCTCGTCTGGTTTTTTTTTTACCCCCATGCTAATAATTTGTCATGTACTTACTTATGAAATGTGTAAGTTCCAGATTCAGCAAATCACTGAGCAGCTGCTTAACTTGAAATATGCTTAGATTCAAGTAGGCTTAAAATGAAGCATGTGCGTAGGATCCTTGCTGAACTGAACCCTAAACTGTGAAAAATGGTTTTGTTTCCATATTACAAAATCATAATCCAACATGATATTTTATATAATCAGTATCTTATTATGTGCCAGCCTCCAGGCCAGGGGTAAGGAAGCTAAGGCCCCGGGGGTGGGGGAGGATCAGCCCCCGACTTGCCTTGATTTGGCCCCTGAGGGCTCCCCGCTCCAGCATTGGGGAGCCTGCGCTGGCGTTCCAGCTCCCCTGCTGCCCCACTGCTGGGCTGGAACACACAAAATCTACTAGCCTGAGCCACCGTAGGCTCTGGTGTGCGAGGGGAATGTGGGAGTGTCTCCTCAGTTGGGGGCCACAGCAGTGAGGGTTGTTTTGTTTGCTTTTTGCTTCTCACTTGTGTGGACACCCCCCCCCTCCCCCGGACTGGTTTTTCTGTGGGTCAGTGGCCCCCAACCTTAAAAAAAGGTTCCCAACCCCTGCTCTAAACTAGCAACGTAGATAACATTTGAAAAAGCTCCCATGTTACTTTCAAGAGAGTGCTCCCAATGGACAGCTGGTCATACCCATTCTCCTAGAAGAGATTCTCCCCACCAGTAACTCCTAATCAGAATTGGCTTGACCAAAAATGCCAACCTTGGTCTTTGCTCTGCAACCAAAATCCTCAGGTTCTGGCATTCAGAGGTTCAATTTGAAATGCTGTGATCGGACGCTGTGTTGCCTTTTGTCAGACTCGCTAATTCAGTGAGAGCAGAAACACCTTTTAGCTTCCTCCACCTGAATTTGCAAACAGGCACTGAAAGACAAAGCTTGTGTTTGCTTTCCGGCACGGTTTAAAACAGGACTGTGAAAGAAACAAGAGAAAATATGTTCACAAAAAAATAGCCTTTTACATCACACCCCAAAGGCAAGGAAGTGTCTGGTTTTGATTGGAAGTGATGGGTCAGATAAACCAGGAGTCTCGGCCTTTTTTGTGCTGCTACAGCAACATAATGTGTCTTTACATTTGGGTTGATTTGCCATGGCATCCAGAGTTACAGCTGCTTTGTGCCAGTGGAGGGAGGCCACCTGACCAGCGTGCATTGGCGAATATATTCCTAATGCAGAACTTATCATTCATGAGGATTTATCAGGAGAGTTTTAATCAATATCAAGTCTTAAAGGAGAAACTTACTTTTTTGGATAAATGTTACCACCATGGTATTAATATTTGTTATCTAGAACCTTCTTGGTTGAAAGCGGTTGGACCGGGCAATGATCCTCTCAAAGACTGTCTCGCGGTATGTCTACAGCACTACTGAACAGCCATGGCTGGCCTGTAGTAGCTGACTCAGACTGGAAAATTGCTGTGTAGCTGCTCAGTTTGGCCTGTAGTCTCTAATGCGGTGGTTCTCCACACAGTGAATCTGGCTATAGAGAAACCCTATTTTTAGTGAAAGAGTGACAATCCCAGACTTCAGTTCTGAGTCTCACCCTCCGAAGTCAAATGACATCGTAAGGAATCTTTCCTTTGACCTCAAAAGGCTCAGCTTAGGCCCATAGTGAAAATGTTCCATGAATGAGTTTCTGTAGTAGATGTGGGCTCTGCTGTGTAGTGGCTCAGAGCAGCAGCCCTATTGAGCTAAATAAGGTGGGGACTGGCCATTTTGAGTGCCCGAGACTCTGATTTTTGTAGCTACATTTTGGCTAGTGCTTGCTGCAGCCCTAAGCATAGGATTGCAAATGTTTCCTGTAAGCCTTGCACTTGTGCAGCCGCTCCGGAAAGTTTCAGGTGCCACCCAGCTGATTAGCAGAGTGCCCACAGCCCAGCTTTGTGTTTCTTCCGGTGGTGCACATTTTCACTTGCCTCGGCGCACATAAAAATGTATTCTGCACATGGATGAAAAAGATTAGCGGGACCATTGATTGCCCCCACAAATGAGCTACTTAGCCCAATTTTACAGCCTTTCCTCTGTGGGGCTACCATTACTCCTTGGCCCTGAAATAGAGAGCTGAGTCCTTGTTTGAAAACCAGGGCCACTATACAGAGGACAAAATGAATACATGTAGCTTTCTAAGCCAGGGCTTCATCATTTGTAGGGGTTGGCTTAGCATGAAGTTTGTAACCATGATCTACAGTCACTGGTGATACTCAGCAGTGACCATAATTTAGGGCCTGATTCCCCATTGGTCTGCACCTCAAGTTGCCATTTACCCCTGAGCAAAGTAACAGTTGGTGGTAAAGCGATCCATTCCAGTCTGGTGGCATTTTACACAAGTATTGCTGTGGTACGATGGATGACAAGAGGTGCAAGGCAGTGATTCAGGCCTCGCGGATTAGAGGTAGCAATTGGAGGCAAAGTTGAGGCGGGGCAATGCAGACTCTGCCTGTTCTTCAGTCAGTGTGAGTTTTGTACGGTGAGGTTTGGACTCAGCAGGACACTTAACATTCTGCTCCTCCTGCAGCCAACAAGCTACAAGTAAATTAACTGGAAAAGAGATAAAGGGCTTTTTCTATTCATTAGGTGCCTCCAGAAATGAACTTCATTCCAGTGAACCGGCAGACCAGCACTTTCTCCGAGAAACCCCACCGAACACAGAAAGCAGCCCACGGAGCAGTGCAGGGTTTTCCATCACAGAAGACGACACAGCCATGGTGACCTATAAATTGCAAAGTGCCACAAATGACCCTACAAACAACAGATCGCCCCAGTCCCATGGGTCAACAGCCAACTTCAGTGATCTGCACACCGTGACAACCTTTACAAAGGATACTGACAAGCTGCCTGCATTTGAACAAGTACAGACAGAGACAGGTGTTTTAAATATCCCTGGCCCTGGCAGTGTTACCAGTAGGCCCTTGAGTACCTTGAGCATTCCCATCTCAAGGGGGGAAATTGATTCTTCTGCCCTTATGAAAAATCCAAATGAGGTACCTCCGGGGAAAGCAGAAAGGGGAACTGCATTTGGAATCCATATAGCTAGCACCAGCCTTGACCTGTTCAGTCCCACTCCCAGGGAGAGGACACTCATAAAACCTCCTGCATTTCACCACTCCCGACCACCCGACGGTGTTGTGCAGACAGCAATGCCAAATCCCAGAATCTCTTCCATGACTTCGACACTAAATATCCATAAGCTGGACGAAAACCAAACCAAAACACCAGCCTCTTCGTTTCCCATCAAAACCGTGCAGACTCTCACAAAGACAGCAACAAATCAGTTACTGGCATTAATCCCTCTCACTCGCAAAAGGTTGAGAGAGAAGAGCCCAGAGCTGGATGTCCAAGCTTTTTTTGCTACTGGGATTCCCGCATCCCCAAAGGGGACTACTCTGCATCCAGATATCAGAGTCTTCTTTTCAGCCTCCTTGCAAACGCCAGTTTCAGAGGAACCTGCTGCAATCATTTCAAGGGCAAAGCAGCCTTCCCTAGCTACACCCCTCCAGAGAGATACAACGGGGAGTAAACCCATTGATCCACAAAGAGTGGAAATGAATGGTTTTGGAAACCCAGCCCATCGGTATGCACTTCAGGTACCTCCACAAAATGGCACTCACCCCTCTCCATTGCTCACAATCCCAGAAACGCCTCCCCCAAATGCCTTACTGCACTCTTCGTTGCAAGTGCCCAGCACGAATCAATCACAGCCCTTCTCCTCATACCAGTTTGTCAACTCCAGTAAATTGGTCATTTTCCAGGAAATTGGTGAAGGTCTCAAACAAAACACAAGCCCAGCTCTGAGAAGTGATATGGGGCATCAGACAGTGGAGCAAAGATCTAAGACATCCAAATCCCCTAAGACCCTAAGGACGTCAGCTGATGATGGACATCCACTCAACCTACCACAGATGTTCCGCTTCAAACTATCCCCAAGCACCATAGGGCTTAAAGGGACATCACATATGCTCCTGCACCAGCAGAGCTTTTGGGACAATCACACAGATATGTCAGCCTCTGCGCATGCTGGGCCTCTGGCCCCAGCCACCTCCACCTCTGGACATGCCAGGCCTGTGGGATTGGCCACCTCCACCTCTTCCAACGCTGGGCCTGCAGCTCTGGCCACCCTCGCCTCTGCCCACACTGATGCAGACCCTCTGGGCATGTTCAATTTGGCCCTCAGTGGGCTTGCAGCTCCAGGCATGGCCGCTTCCAGGCACACTATGCCTGAAGCCCCGGATATGCCTGCCTTTCAGCACACCTGGCCAGAACCTCCAGTCACCTCCGCCTTTGCTCTCCTCAGGCCTGCAACCCTGCGAGCCTCGGCCCTCATGAAGCCTGCAGCCCCAGTCACCCCCGCCTCTGCCCACTCCGGACTTGAGGACACTTCCCCCTCCACCTCTGCCCACGCCGGACCTGAGGACCTGGCCACCTCTGCTTCTTCCTATGATGGGCCTCAGGTCCCATCCACCTCTGTCTCTCTCCACGCCAGGATTGAGGTCCTGTCCACTTCAATCTATGTCCACACCGGGCCTGAGGACTCGGCCATTCCCGTCTCTGCCCACACCCGGCCTGCAGCCCTGGCCACCCTTCCCACTGTCCACGGTGGGCCTGAAAACATGGGCACATCTGCCTTTGCCCACGCTGGACCTGAGGACTCAGCCACCTCTTTCTCTCCCCATGCCGAGCTTTCAGCCCCAGCCACCTCGACCTTTATCCATGCCAGGCCTGAGGATTTGGCCACTTCCTCCTCTACCCATGCCAGGACTTCCGGCCCAGCCACCCCCGCCTCATTCCATGCTAGGCCTGAGGACCCAGCCACCTACACCTTGGTCCACACCAGGCCTGAGGCTTTGACTGCCTCCACCTCTGTTCATGCTGGGCCTCAAGTCCCATCTATCTCCGTCTCTGTCCACGCCAGGCCTGTGGTCCCATCCACATTTGTCTCTGCCTATGCTGGGCCTGAAGTCCCAACCACTTCCATCTCTGCACATGCCAGGCCTCAGGTTTTGGTCACCTTAACCTCTGCCTACACAGGGCCTGTCCCCTTGACCACCTCCATATTTGACCATGCTTCACCTGATGCTCCGGCCACACCCTCCTCTGCCCACACCAGACCTGAGGATTTGGCTACCTCCTCTTCTCCCCACACTGAGCCTTCAGCCCCAGCCACCCCCGCATTACTCCAAACTGGGCCTGAGGATACAGCCACACCCCCCTTGTTCCACACCAGGCCTGAGGTCCTGGTCACCGCCGTCTCTACCGACGCAGGGCCTGAGGACCCGACCCCTTCTGTCTCTTCCCACACTGGGCCTGAGGTCCCAACCATCTCCATCTTAGCCTTTGCCCAAGTTGCACCTGAGGACTTGGCCACCTCCTCCTCTCCCAATGCTGGGCCTTCAGCCCCATCAACCCCTGCCTTAGTCCATACCAGGCCTGAAGTCCCGACCATCTTCATCTCTGCCCACACCAGGTCTGAGGTACCAGCCACCTCTGTCTCTACTCGCGCTGGGCCTGAGGACCCGTCCACCTCTGCCTCTGCTCACGCCGAGCCTGAGGATCTGGCCACCTCCATCTCTGCCCACGCTGAGCCTGAGGATCTGACCACCTTTGCCTCTTCCTATGACGGGCCTCAGGTCCCATCCACATCTATCCCTGCCCACGCCAGGCCTCAGGTCCAGTCCACCTCTGTCTCTGTCCACGTCGGGCCTCAGGTCCTGTGCACATCTGTCTCTGTCCATGCCGGGACTGGGGTCCTGTCCACTTCCATCTATGTCCACACCAGGCCTGAAGACTCAGCCATTCCCGTCTCTGCCCACACCCGGCCTGCAGCCCTGGCCACCCTTGCCCCTGTCCACGGTGGACCTGAAGACTTGGGCACATCTGCCTTTGCCCAAGCTGGACCTGAGGACTCAGCCACCACTTTCTCTCCCCATGCCGAGCTTTCAGCCCCAGCCACCTCGATCTTGGTCCATGCCAGGCCTGAGGACTTGGTCACTTCCTCCTCTACCCATGCCAGGTCTTCAGCCTCCGCCACCCCCGCGTCGGTCCATGCTGGGTCTGAAGACCCGGCCACCTCCACCTCGGTCCACACCAGGCCTGAGGATTTGACTACCTCCACCTCTGCTCATGCCGGGCCTCAAGTCCCATCCACCTCCATCTCTGCTCATGCCAGGTCTGAGGACCCAGCCACCTCCATCTCTGTCCCTGCCAGGCCTGCAGTCCCATCCACATTTGTCTCCGCCTACGCTGGGCCTGAAGTCCCAACCACCTCCATCTCTGCACACGCCAGGCCTCAGGTTCTGGTCACCTTCACCTCTGCCTACACAGGGCCTGCCCCCTTGACCTCCTCCACCTTTGACCATGCTGCCCCGGATGCTCCAGCCACATCCTCCTCTCCCCACACCAGACCTGAGGACTTGGCTACCTCCTCTTCTCCCGACGCTGAGCCTTCAGCCCCAGCTACCCCCACCTTAGTCCACACTGGGCCTGAGGACACAGCCACCCCCGCCTTCATCCACACCAGGCCTAAGGTCCTGGCCACTGCCGTCTCTCCCTACTTAGGGCCTGAGGACCCGACCCCTTCTGCCTCTTCCCACGTCGAGCCTGAGGTCCCAACCACCTCCATCTTAGCCTTTGCCCAAGTTGCACCTGAGGACTTGGCTACCTCCTCCTCTCCCAATGCTGGGCCTTCAGCCCCATCAACCCCCACCTTAGCCCACACCAGTCTTGAGGTCCCGTCCACCTCCGTCTCTGCCCACACCAGTCCTGAGGTCCCGTCCACCTCCGTCTCTGCCCACGCTGGGGTTGTGGCCCTGACCAACTCTGCTTCTCCCCATGCTGGGCCTTCAGCCCAAGTCACCACCACCTTAGTCCATGCTGGGCCAGAGGACCCAGCCACCCCCACCTTGGTCCACACCAGACCTGACGATCCAGCCACTTCCACCTCTGCCCATGCCCGGCCTGAAGACCTGGCCACCCCCGCCTCTGCCCATTCCAGGCCTAAGATCCTGGCCACTTTCACCTCTGTCCATGCAGGGCCTAACATCCAGGCCACCTCCATCTCTGACCATACTAGGCCTGAAGACCTGGCCACCGCTGCCTCTGCCCACTCTGGGCCTGAGGTCCCGGCCACCTCTATCTCTTCCCACACTAGGCCTGAGGTCCCGGCCACCTCTTCCTCTGCCCGTGTTGGGCCTGAGGACCTGGCCCCCTCCGCCTCTACCCAGGCTGGGCCTGAGGTCCTGTCCACATCCATGTCTGCCCAGGCCAGAGCTGTGGCCCCAGCCAACTCTGTTTCTTCGCCTGACTTTCTGGCTCCCTCTGCTTCTGTCCTTGCCAGGCCTGAGGTCCTGTCCACCTCTGTCTCTTTCCACACAAGGCCTGTGGTCCCAGCCACCTCTTCCTCTGCCCAGGCCAGGACTGCAGCCCTGGCCCATTCCACCTCTTCTTATGCCAAGAGTTCCATGCCGGTGGATACATCTGCTTCTGCTGTGGCCAAGTATCCTGTGCCGGACGGTACATCTGCTTCCACGCAACATGGGCATCCTTCACAACACATTTCTGTTCATTTTGGATCTCAACTAGATGTCCCCACGATGCCATACCTGAGCACCCTGAAAGATGCCGACGGTGAGAGAGTTCCTCAATTCTTTGCTCCGACGGATAATGCTGGTACTTTCCCAATATCCCTGTTAGCCCATCCATCCCCTGGATCCTCCGTGTTCCCTGGCCACAAGGACCTTCTTAGCTTGGGTACTTCAGCTTTCCAAAACTGGCATCCTGACAGCCTTGACCCATCCCTGGCCCACACTCTAGTAAACCTGCCTAGCTTAACAACATCCCCGGGGGAGATGGTGCTTAGCAGTCCTGCTAAGGCTCTGGACCCTCTGGCACAAGAGCTGTCCCAGCAGTTCAATTACTCAGATGTCACAGCTTCTCAAAGCCTTTATGCTTTCATGGCCAGTCACCTGCTGCTCCTATTGCCAGCCCAGTTTTTGTCCTCCTGGGTTGGAAACTCTGAGGACATGGTGTGTTTACAACCCATGAAAAATGCCCCTCTGTCGGCAGTACACCCTGACACCAGTGGTGAGGGTCAGTCTTCCATTCAGAGAATGCCATTGTTATTGACCTTACTTAAGGCTTCAGTGCTGAACACTGCACCTTTAAAAGAAACGAGTCCCTCCAACAGAATTCTGGTTAAACCTGGTTTTGTCTTTTTACCTTCTGATAAAAGAGAACTCCAAGAGTTACCACCTCTTGGGGCAGAAGGGAAACATGTTGCTTCTTTCTCTGTCACCAATAAGCAAGACCTGGGTTTGGTTACTGCCAAAAGCAGCCATGGGCGCTTGATGGGGAATAGTCCCCGTCATACCACTGAAACCCTCCCTTCCACCACTGTTTTCTACCAACCAGAGAAGCGAGTAATGGCACAGCCAGCACTTTCTGGTCTTCTAAATGATGCAACAATCGCCAGTTTATTTGGCTTCAGCGCCTCAGCATCAAAGCATTTGCCTTCTACGCTGATGGAGCTGAGCACCACAAAGCAGCCCTTCCGTACAAAGAGCTCGCCTGAAGAGGTCCAGTTGCCTGTTCTCCATTCTAAAGAGGCAAAAGAGAATAATTCACTTTTTATCTAGTCAAATCTCTGCAACGCATCTTAACTCAGCCACTTTGCCGTTAACGCCACCTCCCCAGCATAGCTCAAAATCGTCATTGCATGCACTTTCCACAATTGACGTGCTAAGCTCTGACTCCAGGATCTTTTCACTGTTAGCCGGGGGGCACTCCAGCTCTTACCTTCTAACTCCAGGAGTGTTTACAAAGTTAAGAAGTGTGGGTCGGCAACAGCTTAATACGGAATTAATTCTGCAAACCACTAATCAACATTGTTACTCAGCCTTTACTTCCTCTTCTGCTGAGAAGAGACAGATGGAATCCTTGAATTTGTCCTCAGCTGGTAGCACAAAACTCCCTCTAAAGATATCCACAAGCATCACACCTTCACGGTCCACCTCACTCAAACCCTTAAGTACTGAGTCACTTGGAAAACCTTCCTTGCAAATTCAGTTTGTACCCAGCACGGTGTCATCTTCCTCAACACTTCCAACTAGAAACAATCACAAAGATTTAGCAGGAACGGGTGATTTCTATTCAGAAGGGGTCATGGCACATCATCCAGCAACACAAACCCTCACAGCTTCCATGAATCGTGACCTCTCTAAGCTCTTTGAGTTGATTCCCAGCATAACTAAGCCCTCCCCAGTAGGAGAGAAACCCATGTGGTCAGTTCTCACACAGTTTTCAACAAAGAGCCACCAAATAAATGCAACGGTTTCTGGGAAACTTCTTGGTAGCGTCACAGACCCACAGAGACATTCCAGGACATCTGCAGAAGAATCTTCACAGATATTTGGGAGCGCCCACCATGCATTAAGTCCGAAAGACGGCCTAATCAGGATTATGGCTGTTGGGGGGCTCTCCCTGCCAAATGTGGAAGGAAAAGCAAAATCAATTCAGAATGTTCCAGAAACCAACATACATGCAAGACAAAAAGGAACAGATGAGCTCCAGGGGAAAAGTAGCACAACGGCAGCCTTGCCTGGCAATGCGGTGGAGCATCCAGCTACCATGATTCTTGGTAACTGGCTCCCTTCAACATTAGGACAGCCACGAGATTCTGCAGGGTCTACAGCTCTTCAAAGAGACAGGAGATTAACATCAAGCACTTTGTGTTCTCCATCAGCTTCTCCTTTGGCCGTTCCAGACAATCAGGTAAGTGCTTCGCTAACGAGCACAGAAGCATTATTCCCGGTCCCTTCAAATATCAGCTCTGACTTGAACACTTTGCAGCCAAATGTTGCCAGAACGAATGAGACCCCGGTGGTTTCACAAGCAGCAGGTAAAGACAACAGCCGGCATGGTGAAGTGACAGCTGGCCAGTTGGCTGCTCCAACGCTTCTGTCTCAGTTGCTTCATTTGTCATCAAGCCTGCAAAGTCGCCCGCCGGAGAGGAGATCTTTGGAAGACAATGTGAAAAATGATCCTTGGCATTCCTCCTCCCACACTCACATCCCTCTGGCCTCTCTGTTTTTTTGCTGCTCTTCAGGCCAAAACATCTCTGGCAATAAAACTGCCTGCCTCTGCTGATAGACTTGAGGCTAAGGTTATAAACCAGTCACCTCTCTTCCGGGTACTGGCACTGAGTGACTCCGAGCCACTTCTAACAAAAAATCGAACCCAGTTCCAGCCAGCCTTGGAAAGTCCTTCAGATTCTTCTGAGGTCCCAATGGCCTTTGCATCAAAGGAGGATTCCTCACTAGATGTTACTGACCGTGGGTCATTAGATCAGCCCTCTGTGCGCACAGAGCGCGAGCAGGTTAGAACAAGCAAAATGACCGAAGATGAAGCTGAGGACTTGGTAACGGCTGTGCTGCTGCCGGATTCCGGTCCCAGCACTTTTGAGAGCGGGGCGCAGCCGAGTTTTATTCAGGCAGACGATGTTCTTCAGGATGGGTAATTATGATGCTGGGAACCTTTGGGGAGATTCGTGCGTTCAAAGGGTTGAACATGCTAATTTATTCACAGCAGGGGGTGACTAGCTGGCCCTGTGACACCCCCTCCAGCCCAAGGAAGGGCAGGGACAACCCACCTCTGCCCCAGGCCCTGCCCTTCCCTATCCTTGCTCCATGCCCACCCCACTTCTTCCCCCAAGTGAGGCAGCCTGGGGGACTAGCGGGACCAGTGGTCCGGCCCCTCTGCACTCACCAGCAGCAGCAAGGAAAATGGAACAACGTGACCTCAGCTCATTCTGCTTCCTTGCTGCATCGTTTCACTCCCCTATGGGGAGTGTGGGGGCGGTCCCTCCCTCCTCCGAGCACCTAGGCTGGAGGAGCAGAGCGAGCTGGAACTGGGTTGCTCTGTTTCCTCTGCCGCTGCGTGCAGGAAGGCCGACCCCTGCTGTGGGTATCTCCCCCCCACACTATTTCCTGCTGGTTGGCCCCTTGCCCCTCCCACTCATGGCACTGGACCCCTCAAGAACCTTCCCCCCCATGCATCTCCCCGACCCACAGGGCAGTAACGCGGGGAAGCTGCAGTGCTATTTTAAAAATGGTTAGTCCAGTGGTGGGCAGCCTGCAGTCTGTGGGCCGCATGCAGCCCATCGGGGCTCCGTGTGTGGCCGGTGTGACGTTGCCCACACACGGGGTTGCCAAATTCTACTGGCTTTTTGTCCAAACGTGGTTTTCTTACCTACCCATATTGCTAACGTGCACACACACGCAAAGGAAGGGCACAGGAAGGGAGGGGCATGCTGATTGCACGCACCGCTGACTGTGAGAGTCCTGCGCTCCCTCTGCAGCCAATCAAAGCCCTGCTATGGTTCAATCGGCACCTGCACAGTCTAGACACACAAGTGCAGATTGCACAACTACCCTATCATAGGAGACTGGCCTGGTCACCTTGCGGCCCCCTGAGATGAAGAAGGGCCGCTCATGCTGCCCACTCACTAGCCTAGTTTCCTATTATTACGGGCTTAGTACTTCCCACATGGCTTCACATTTGGATAACTCCGAGGTGCGTTGTGAACCTGCCTTTCAGGTACCAACATTGCCTTTTGGGCCTGATTTTTTTAACAGAAGCTTTCCAATTTTGTGCCTGTATTTTTGCTCCTCCCACACTATCGGTGGGTGCAGTTTTGCAGGCGCAATCATTTGCCGGCGCCATCATGTGTCTAGTGGCATGATTGTGCCCACCCGTAAGGCAGATGTCTGTGTAAACCAGCATGTGCAGTGATGTGCAAGTGCATGGAGCCAAGCTGAGATGGTTCTGGAAACGTGTGGCTTTCTCATGACGCAATGTACAGAGTCCACTTGGATCTTGCAAAGGTTTCGGTGCTTTGAGTGGAATAATAAAACTTGACTCGAGTCTCAGGTCCTCCATGAAATAAACAGCTCCACCGGGGGACTGAATCCCATGCACCTTGCTGTTTATCCCCAGTGTTTGGCATTGGAGAAGGCTTTTATCCCCTCCCCCTCCAGCTTTGCAGTCATATCCGATGACGCCTGTGGCTCTGGGAACTACACTGTGCAGATGAGTTTGCGTCCTGTTGGGGCTGGGCTCCACGAAGCAGCACCTCCCCCGGAGACCTTCCTGGCTGTCGTCACCCTGCAGAGCAACGGCAGGCCCCCCCCCGCGGGGGTCCACCCCTGCCGCGC